TAATATTTTCATGGATTGATTGGAAATGACACTTTAGAAAAGCTCAATGGCGTTATAAATTATAAAAACAAAACCTTAAACATTAATAATAAGATCACAGGGTTTCATTTTGGCGAAAAGTCATCTTAAGACACCATATAGCAAATTATAGTCCTTGTTGAAAAAGAATAGGATGATATAATCATGTATGAAATAACAATAAATAGCCACGTTACTATTCGTGAGGAAGCTTATGAAGTTGAAAACTTTAAAGCTACCTCAATAATATTGAATATCAATAATAAGGTTTACATCCAAAATTTCAATAAACCTTTTTCCGTACTAATTTATCGAACAAAAATTTCACTTATGTAGTCACAAATTAATTTGAGAACCTCAAAATAATGCTCATAACTACCCCAACATGTACGAAAAAAATAAAAATGAAATTTTAGTTATTTTCTTCCTAACCTACCCAAAATTTCTTTTTTATAGCAGTACATATTTTTCTGTGCTCGACCTAAAGTCTAAGTTCCATTAAACCGCAAAAATATAGAAAATCGCATACTGAAAACTCGAAAAACCCAACCCCGAGTCTGTTATGGATCCATCAATGTACCACACACTAGAACCAGTCTCAAAAACTGGGCCACCCTTTCCCCACCTGCATCGATTAGGAAATACTACTTCGTATCCCCGATCGAAGTTATACCGCGAGACGCAGACGTCCGAGATGGCTATCCTGAGAATTAGGTCGGTTTCGGCGAAAGCTCTATGAGTGCCGTGGGTCCCTGCGAAATTATCACCTATTAGTCGAGCTTCCCGCACAATGTAGAAAATGCAACGGTGGCAGTCCAGCGAATGCCTCCAAAACAACCGGAAAAGCCGCCCGCGTTGCCCATTGTGAAAACGGAACGAGAGCGACCCCAGTCATATCTTTTTCCAAAAGGACCTTGAATCAATGACCGCACTTGGCAGATCTGCATGATTTCCGAATCAAGGAAGTGTGTTGAAGCCCTCAGTTCCAACGTCTGTTTCTCGCCTTGGGTGATGGAGATATAAAGAGCCTTCAATTAGTCTCAACCTACAGGCATATTTTTTTGGAAATCATCCTATGAAGCCTGGCACTGCTGGTAAGCTCATCAATTTCCTTGCAGAACTCTGTCCATTAGCCCCTCTCTTATTATAGCTTATTTTCTTATTTCTTTATTATAAGTCGTGAAAGAGTGGTCTTATTAAAAAGCTTTCTGATCTCTAGTCTAGGCCTTGCAAACTCCCCGTTCGCCAATGGATATTCCCCATACCTTCACCACGGTTTGATAGGAAAGCTCCCATGATAGGCATCAATAATAGCCGCTGCCAGGCCCCCCTTAACCAACTCGATGTCGGTTCTGGTTCTGACGGAAAAAGGTACAGAGCGTATTCCATTCATGAGGAGCGTTTCATATAGGCTCCAATCTGTGAACTGAGGCATTCAGAACATCTGTTCTGAAGATCCCCCAAGATCGTTATATTAAATCCCCCAAGATCGTTATATTAAATCCCCCCAAGATCCCCCCAAGATCGTTATATTAAACCTGATCTACCTGTGATCAGACATAGATGTCTCCTTTGAGATATGCAACCCTTCGACCCCATTGCTAATAAATTCGGTGCTTAGAGTGATGTCAAGGACTTCCTCCATGACCGCCTTTAAAAATGTTGGCTCATTACCTTCATCCATAGTTACTAGCTTATTACTCTATATAAATTCAAGGAAGCACTCACCTCTCTGCTTATATCAGGCTTTTCAATGAGCTTTGGTTCTTTTGGTTCACTTGAAGTACTAGTTGCAGTGGGCGTTGGTTTATAAGATTGTTTTGCCCTGTCGCCAAAACCTTGAGGGGAATCCTTCCCACTCGAAAGGTAAAGCAAAGGAAGTTCAGGTAAAGTCTGAACTCCGCTTTCCATAGATCTTCCAGACCTTCTTTATCTATCCTACTGCATGCCGATAAGAAGTCATTTAAGGGTGTTGTTTCGGAATGTTCCCGGGAGCATTTCACTCAACGTTAGCCTTCATGGACCTCTTTTTTGAGGGTCCTTGCGGGAAGGTACAGTCACTCATGGTAGAGTCTGGCTCAGCATGGGAAGGCTCATTTAAATTGGAAGGTGCCTATCCAGAGTATCCAGAGTTCGCATTTTAACGGGTATTATTTTAGTATAAAACTTTTGTATAGAAATTTTTAGTACAAAACTTTTACATTTTAGTCTTCTATAATAAAAATAATTTTTTCTTTATTTGTTTTTTATTAAAAATTATGATTTTATTTATTAAAAATCAACAAAAAAAATACTATTCAGAAATGTCGTTTTGCCAAAAAAACATATGTTGATATTTTTGTAATGTCAAGGTATACTTTCATTTTAATTTAAATTTAGTGATTACTGATATTGATTATTTTGTGTTATTAAATAAAATAAAGATTTATAATTTATATTATTAAAGTTTTTACTTTTTTCATAATATTTAGTATGAACCAAATACGTTTTTAACAAAATTATACTAAAATTTTTTTAAAACAAAAAATTACTTGATGAATTGGTAAGGTTCGGTGTATATTTTAAAGTTTTTATTGTACGGATATTTAACTACCTTTACGATTACCTTTATGTAAATAGAAATGCCCCGAAGCTGTTGTATCGAAGGATACAGAAGAAACAGTCTACAGGGAAAGGAGAACGTAAATGCTGTATTTACATTTACTTTACCAAATAACGAAGTACTTTTAATTTGTAAGAGCTTTAAATTTTATTTTGTTGTCTGTGGCAAATATAATTTAATATAACTAAATCTAAGATTTTAACAATTTAAATAAGTATGTAATTTCATCTTTAATAAAAGAAAATTAAATAGCTACATTTATGTGATAAAATTTACAGTTTTTCTCATCAAATAATTTTAAGAAAAATGGATTAAAAATTTTATCTTTTTATGTAAATATGTTATGTACTTAATAAAAAAATTAATTTCAAATTTTTTCTTTTAAAAACAATTTTTTTTATGTATTTACCTTTTTTATTTTACCTGAAAAATGTTTTGTTACCTTTAATTTATTATTCTAATTTGTAAGAACATGAAATTTTATTTTGTTAACGAAATAAAATAATTTCTGTATATTTTGTATTAACGCGTTTTCTATTTTTCAAATATCCAAAATCACTATGAACATTTCTAATTTATTCGAAAATACCTAATACATATAAAAATATATTTCTTAACAAAAAGTATGATGATCAATTTTTAGTACACCGTATGCATATATTAGCAAATTGTGTATTCCAAAGTCTTATATAAAGATACTTTAAAGTCTAGACCTTAAAGTTTTTGTTGTGTCAAGACACACATACATGTGTGATGCTTCTTTTTAAATCAATTTTGTAATGTCAAAATGAGGTCAATGAATTCATGATGAGGTCAATGAATTAGAAATACGAAAGAAAGGAGCATCTTTATTTCTAGCAGACTTGTCCTCCACAAAAAATTGAGTCTTGAAAAACTGCTGAAGCCTAAAACTTCTGGTAAATCTTTCCAAGCCCTTTTTTGTTCCAAGCCCTGTCAAACGGAAATTGACATTAAATGCCAAAAGCTGCTTTTTTTTCTTGGAGAAGTAAACAAACTTTTGTGATTTTTTTTAAATAGTTTAGCATCCGAATGAAAAATTATATTATACTTAGAAAAAAGTTTTAAAAAAAGGTTCTTGTTTAATAGAAATTCATAAAATAATATAACAAATTTAAAAAAGAACAATTTTTTTTGGAAAAATACAAAGTTTGCTAGTTCGAAATTGTTATTTTAATTTTGAAAAGAAAAAATTAGATTTAATTTTATTTTAAACTAAAATTACTTCGGTTGACATAATTTTACCAGGAGCGGTTTTTTTCTAAGCAAAATTAGTTTGTGTTTAATAAAACGTGCCATACATACGATATCTAAAATAAACTTTCTTTTTATATTACAGTTTTCCTAGAAATGATGTGTAAAGAAAGTGGAAATGTATGAAGACGGTGCGATGTCGTGAATGCATTAAGTAAAATAATATATTCGTGTACATTATTTATAAAATATATTGTTTCAGAAGCTTACTGAATTATTCAGGAAGTATACGACAATTTATTATCTACTTTAGTGAGTAATAACTAAGATTTTAATTAAAATTTGTTAAGAAGGACAATTTAGGGTTATTCTGCACCCGAAATTCAAAAAATTAATAAAACGTCACTACAATAATGTTTTGCTAACATCATTGTCATCAACAAAAATTAGATTGCAAGTAACACCCAAGGCAGGACAAAATATCAAAAGAAAAATATAATCACTTTCAAGTGTCGTAAGGTATTGTTATATAAAATGTGTACATTTAATTTCAATTTATAAAATAAATTAATTCAAAGAGAAAACAAATTAATGAGTTCTGTTTAAATTTAATATTTTTTACAGATATTACAAAAGAAAAAATATTTTAAAAGCATTTTTAAAAATATTTTTTAGTTTTTACTTTAAAGAAAAGTTTTAACTTGTCTTTCTTACAAATTTACACATACTTTATAGTAGAGGCCATATAAAAAAATTAGACAAATACGTTCCTTTTACGACTTTGACAATGTTTTAAACAAAGAACGAGACAACTGGAAAGAATTTGGTTTCATTTTTTTTTCAAGATGCTATTTTCTTTAACATTTCAAATTGGTGGATGAGATAAATTCATACATGTATGTATCTTTTCTCCATAAAAGTTTACAAAGACTGAATATTAAAATATGTACAAAAGAAATTTATTTTAATGAATGAGAAAAATTGGAATTAAAGAAGTCTCTTTCTCAATTCTATAAGATTGCTTTATTTTGCTTTTCAATATTAGTTTTTCTAAAATGATTTTGACCCCCTACTTTCAATGTAAAAATTACCTACATCTGATAAAAAAGCAAAGAGCAATACTGAAAATTTATGATTTGACAGATTTTCACGCAGTTGCAATTAGTAGTTCGTGAAGTATATTTTTAACGACAAAACTTAACGGAAAATTAATAGCAGCACTTTAAGATGTGTCTTGATAAGAATTTGTTTTTCAGTTAGCAATGTAAAAATCAATATGTCCTATTACGGCAAGAATATCGCGTACATGGTAAAGCCGTTCTTTTTATAGATTTAAATTAAAATATGAAATGAGTGTAATGTTTTAATTTTCGCACTATTCAGCGTTTGATTAAAAAAAATTTATAGATGTAAAAATTTTAAATAAGTTAGCAAAATATTTCGATGTTTCGTAAAAACGAGAGCAATGTTATTTACAAATGCACTGTGCGTCTATTAGAAGATGATAGTGATATTCTACAATATGAATTCCAGGTAAAGTTAATTTTAAAAAGTTTTCATAGATAAGCTAATGAAATTCAGACGTCAGAACCTTATAACTTTCCTTGAGCGTATTTTATGCTTGTAGATAAAACTATGTATATTACTTTAAACATACAAATGCGATAATAAGGCACGTAAGTTGTATTTTTATAAATACTTAAAAAACTAAGTTGTTATAAGTTGAGTTATTTTGTATACATACACAATACGTAAATTTGTGTTGCAAAAAACTAATGTTGGACCTCGTTATCTTCTTCCTCATAAATAATAGGTATGCACATTTAATATCTTTTATCAGATTTTCTAGTTTTAATGTTTTTATTTTAAATATTCAAAGAATAGATACTAATCAATTGTATTTCCTTATACTTACAATCTATGATGTACATATGGATATGTACATAACAAAGTTATTTTCTTTACAATACTTTTTTTAAACAATTCATTAAAAAAATAAAAAACTGTTAATTAGAGCAGGAAATAAGAAAAAGGTTTATATTGTTGAATGAGGATACAAAATGATACATTATTTGTTTTTATATGATCTGAAGTTTATTAAACTTCAAAATGAGAATGCAAAATAATACATTTATCATTATTAGTTTTTTTTTAAAGATTATGTACATGTGTTTATGTATATATGTGATAAAACTTATTAATTGATGCGTTCCAGTAATCTATAAGTCTTTATATATTATTACATAACTTTGCAGGAGTAGCGGAACGGATGTCGAGAATAACAGAGAATTAGAATAAGCACTTAAAATCATTTGTATAGAAATTGGTAATACTGAACACCAACAAAAAAATTTTACTTCAACGTTTTGAATTTTCTTCGGAAGCTTTAAAATTCAGTAAAATTTTTATCTAGAGGTCTCAAAATTAAAACGATGGTTACATTACTGATTTATTACAATGTTGATTAGAAAACTATATTAATAAAAAGAGGTTTAACTTTAAATAATAAAACAGCATTACATATTCGCAATATTAGATAATTAGCATAAGTACATAACGATGCTTTTGAACGAACGAAAAAAAGGTTTTGCACACGCTTGCACTTTTTCTTAGAATTATTTCTTCTGTACAAAATATTTTCAAGTTCATTCATAAGTAGAATAAATTCAATTGTTATTTCGATCGTTAATAAAAATTATGTTTTATGACTAACAATTGAGAACATTATGTAGTTCAAATAACGAACGTGAATGATTATTTACTATGCAGAACATTCTACAATTTAAAGTAATGTAAATAAGATACATATGTACATATATGACAATTTCATAAATCAATTTCCCGTTTTAAATATTAAATTTAAACTCATATAAATACTTTGATGAATAATTAACTTTATTTTTAGAAATTAAAAATCAAGCTCGATCAAGTTTGATAATGCGAGAAATCGATTTAGTATAAAAAAGTCTAGAACAAATCGTAAGCAGTTCCTGATTTAACTTATTATAGTGAACATTGTTAAATTTCATTATAAGATTCCATTATAACTGTACTCGTAATAAAGCATAGCTTTATTACAATTGTTCAACTTTGTATCACTAAGAATTATAATACTAAAGTGAATATGTATATTATACTTTTTAAATCCGTACGAATATATGTTGGAAGGAAATTTAAATTTTCCTTATCGTTTGTAACGACGTGAGTCTGAAATATAGACTCAAGTGTATATTTTTGATCAGCGTCGAATTCTGAGTCGATCTAACAATGTCTGCCCGTCTGTTCCAACGATAACCCAAAAATTAATTGAGCTAAGTTCACCAAATTTTCACAAATAATTTTTTACAGTAAATGGCAGAACCCTATTAACATTGATCGAGGTACTGGCTAGGGTAACTGCCACACAACTTCGAAATTTATTTGGCTATATCTCACAAATTATAAAAGCTATGGTATTGAAATTTCGTATAGGTGAATACAAAGTCGTTGAAATTACCTGGAAGCTCCTTCTAGTAGCTGCCATACAACTTGAGAAACAATTCAATGTTATACAACAAGAAAAGTTATAAATGACAGCTTTATTCGTTTTTGAGATCTTATGAGCCCTTGTGATGTCATACAACTTCAAAAGTTATTTGGCCATAATCTCAGAAACTGTTCAACACATAGTTTTAAAAATTTGCACACATATTGTTAGACCGACTATGTTTGATAAAAGTCGTTGAAATTTTTCTACTGCTTGTGGTAGTTGTCACACAATTTCATAAGTTGTTGTTCATGTTCAAAAACTGTTGAAGCTACAAAGCTGGAATTTAAACAAAGGAATTTAGTGATGTGACCATTATTTTTAGTAAACCTCTTTTATAGTGTATGGGTTTATCTAACTACCATATATATATGTATGTATAAAATAGCACTAGACATGTATAAAAACAAGAGGTTGTATGAATTTGTGTATGTATTACCCCCAACTTTTAATATCATATATTCGTACAGGTATCACAGAGTTGACACAGTCAACTATATCTACTCTTGTTTTTGTTTGTTTTTTATTTACGCAATATTGAATATAATTTTAAACAATATTATGAATAATCATAAAAGCCTTTTTATTAATCTTAAACGTACGCTGCTTGATATAAAAAAATATCAACAAAAATAGGTAAATAATAAAAAAAAGGAAAAACTTAATTACATTAAACCTATGCGCGCTCATTTGATTTTTCTGTCTCTCTGTTTTTGCATCCATTTTTTTTGTTAAACAGACTTTCTAAAAAAGTTTTTTATTAAATTATTTTTCTGACAGGATGTTAACGTATATTAAAAAATTTTTTTACAAATAAATGTTATGTAGTGACGCAAGCAAAAATTGATTATCGAAACGGCCTGTATTTAATTAGCGGTCTTTAAATATACATATATATTTTTTAATACAGGTGTTAAAAATCATCGACAGACAAAGATAGGCGGATCTAAACTGTTAAATAAATAAAAAACAAAAAAAAACTTATATGATTATTCATAATTTTGCCTAAAATTAGATTGACCTATCAATACTGGGAGGACAAGCAAGGTTAGAATTTAATTAAACAAATACATATATACCTAAAGAAATTAATTTTACAAATGTAATTTATCATAAATAATAATTGTTGTAATATTAATTAAAATTAAATAGTTGAAATAATAATTAACATTTAAAAGAACCAAGATAGATCATTCATTATGAACATCATAATACATTATAATGAAACCTCTTCAAGATAGAAATTTGGCAGCATAAAATTGAGAGAAATATGTGAGTCATTTTCCTCGAGAAAAATGTACCATGTAAAAAATTTACAGGAGAAATTTGTTTTTTTTAGTTTCTCTTTTATTTATTGTTGCTTAGTTCTTATTTAGTAAATTACATTAAAATTATCCAAATTATTTTTTACTATTACTTGAAAGCGTAAGTCACTTACGCTTGTATACCCATGATACTGTTGTGTGGGTACATACAATTTTCTTATGTGATTTTAATATTTTGTGATGTAAAATTTAAGATAATTTCAAACTAACTACAATAACTATTGATGGTTCCGGTATATGAATATTAATTTTTATATTTTGCGGTAACCTTAAAATAACATAAGTTAACGGCAACCTGATTCAAATTTAAATTTTCCTTCCTACATTAAATTAATCATTTATTTAATTTGATATATACATTCATGACCCAATTTAGTTTCAATACTTTCGAACATAATATTTGCATTCAATGCGATCCATACCAAGGTGCAAATATTGTCTTCTTCTAGTTACTTTTTTACTTCTATCTTATCTAGTTACTTTTTAGGGCCCGATCGACTATCTCGCTATTTTACTCTGAAAGTGAGAAGAAACTGAGTAACTTCCATGTACTTGTATAATGTTTCGAGTGAGTAAAATTATTTGGTACTGCGTATCACGTTTTTTTTCTAAAATGCATACAAAATTTATTCATTTTGTTTTTGAAAGTGAGACTATTAGTCGATAATTTGAGCAAAAATCCAATTAAAAAAATGAGTAATATTATTGCAAAAGTGAAACATCCTTTAGAAAATACTGAGAGTTCTGATTTGCAAGTGAATAAAAAGTGAGTAAAATAGTGAGGTACACGATCACGATGTTAATATCGTAGAAACGCAATCACTTATAATAATTTATCTACATATATATGTATGTATGTACATATATACCTACATAATTAACTAAATATTTTTATTAATGTTATGTGCTGAATTCATTACAGCCTCATCATAAAGGCAATTATTTGTTAGATTGTATTTGTAACCAGCTTGCTATAAAAGAAAAAGATTATTTTGGTTTACGTTATGTGGATCCACTTAAACAAAGGGTGAGTTAAAAAGTATGAATCAAGTAAATGTTTAATTTTTTTATATTCTCAATAGCATTGGTTAGATTTAGGAAAATCCATTTTGAAACAAGTCAAAGGTAAATATTAAATTTTAAAATATTCAAACACAAGTTATACTGCAAACAATAAAATTTTTAGAAACAGATCCTATAATATTTTCGTTTCGAATAAAATTTTATCCTGCTGATCCGTTCAGATTAAATGGAAATGGAAGAATTACTTTATATCAACAGCTCAAAAGAGATTTACGGCACGGCCGTCTTTATTGTTCCACTGGAGAGGCTGCAGCACTTGGGGTATTAATAGTACAAGGTAAATAAAAATATTCTATTTCTACAAAATATTTGTGTGGATATACAATTAATTTAGAATTATTGAGCGAACAATGAACGTTTGACATCTATAACATGAAAAGAAAAGACAATATTATTCTATATAGAAGAGTCTTTTGTGTCTTCTCAAGTTTTCTTGATATACATAATTAATTTTATGCAACCGTCAATAATACATTTGTGTAATAAACTAATTTTAATTGACTATAAAATTTATTCTATAATGTAATTGTTCCATGGATTCTTTTATTACTATTTATTAAATTTATTTCATCGAACTTTTATACAAACATGTTATTGTTAATTAAAAAACTAAGTTACATGTGACTTGATTTCCTTAAAGTGATACACAAGTAATACCATTAAAACAAATTTTTAATTAAGAGGCAATTAACCTTTAATATAGAGCCCGGAATTTTTTTGTGTAATATGTGCACACTTTTATCTTATTCAGATACCTGGTTTATATTTTTTTTATAATTCAACAAAATTATATTATAAAATTAGTGGAAATTTAAAAAGATTTAATACTATATTTGCTAAGAAAAAGATACCCCACCATCTTGGTATTAATTTAACAAAACATTAGTTCTTATTTTAACCATTTCGCTAATACTTTCGCATTGTCTTTTTGGAGAAATGGGCTATTTTTTACTTATATAATAAGCTCTTTGTGCAAAGCTTAATTAAAGATAAATTGTTTAACTGAGAAATTACCTTGAGCAGATTCATTTTTGCTTCTTATATCAATGTGATTCATTCCTTCTTTTTTATTTTTTTAAGGTACGATTGCCATAATATAGTCATAAATGCACGTAAGTGCGTTTTGACATAAAATCCTATAATGAACAAGATGTCTTAATATTTTTGGATATATGTATGTATGTATGTGTATCATAAGTTTTTTTTCAGAAAAGAGGCTATTCATTTCTTTAGTACACATATAAATTTCGTACGGGAAGGCTATATAGCTGAGCGGTAAAATAATTTTATTTGTTGTTTAAAATTTAATTTTAATTTAAATTTAGTGAATGATTGTAATAATTTTTTGTGTTATTAAATAAAGTGTAGATTTATAATTAAAAAGAAAAAATTACTTAATAAATTGGTAAGATTTGGTGTACTTTTTAAAGTCTTTATTGTAATCATGATCAAATAAAATACGAGTATAATAGTATATTTAGTTACTTTCATAATAAAAATTCCCCGAAAGTGTTGCGCTGAAGGATGCTGAAGCAGTAGTCTACGAGAAAAGGAGAACGTAAATGCTACACCTACATTTACTTTGGCAAAAAACGAGGTCATCAGGGGTAAATATATACAAGCATTAGGAAAAAGGAACTCGACACCAACTTTTTTTATGTTTTTGATCTTTTTATTTTACCTGAAAAATGTTTTGTTACCTTTAATTTAATATTCTAGTTTGTAAGAACATGAAATTTTATTTTGTTATTTTTTAAACGAAATAAAATAATTTCTGTTTATTTTGTATTTAATCGTTTTTTATTTTTCAAACATCTCCAATCACCACGAACATTTTTAATTAATGCGAAAATACCTAATATAAGAATATATTTCATAACGAAAAGTATGATGAACTTTGAATACAGTGTATGTTTGTGTTACGGAGTCTTGAAAATAAAGATGTCTATGGTTTTGAGCTATTTGTATGGCTGGTTTTGAAAATTATATAAAAATACTAAAGTCGTAAGCTGATTTGCGATTTGCAAGATGTTTGGTACTATGTAAAAAATCGCATCGTAAAAATTTTTAAATTGGCAGCATTTTCTAAAATTTCTTGTTTTTGACATTTCTGACAGTTTTCTCAAAGTAAATATTTTAATTATTTTAAAAAAAACCATACATTTAAATGTATGTACATTATTAAGTAGGCGGTTATTAATTTTTTATAAAAATATGGATAGCAAAAGACTTATTTTTAATTGTAACACTTAAATTGTTTGGTTTTATTTCTTCAAAAACATAGACTTTTGCAATTTGGTTCGTAAACAAAATGTCATTGAAAAGTATACGAAAGTAGCATTCGGTAGTACAACTTTTGCTACTTTCGCATACGCAAATTTGCGATACTCGATTTACCTAGTGTCAAAATTAAAAATGCGAGAATCGTTTATTTTTTATTTATTTATATGCCATTCGAGATTGCTCTTTTTACCGACCGTATTGTGTAAACAATAGGTAGGTTATGTGATGGCAACAAATTTTGCATATCGAGTTTTCGGTGGGAACGTACTTCTCCATAGTAGGGAAGTGTAAATAAACTATTTTTAGCAACCTGTCGGTCTGTCGGTCTGTGTGTGCACGCGTGTATCTCAAAATCGACTGAACCGATTTTGATGAAATTTTATATGTAGGTTTGTTTCCACCATGGCACGGATCGATCAACTTTTGGTATATATCAGGGCTCGGGAACTGCACTTTTTAGCGGGCCTGTTTTACATTTTTGAACATTTCGAAGAAAATATTCCACCGATTTACTTGAAATTTTATATATAAGCTCAGCTCGACCGTCCGCAAAAATTCGTATGTTTTGGAAGAAATCAGGCGTCGTCAACTAGACGTTTACTACGGGCCAAATATACATTTTTGTGTATATAAAGAGAAATAATCAACCTCGTATTAAAACAATGAACATATAATTTTTTTGGAAAGATCAGGGCTCGAAAACGGATTTGCGGGCCGATTTTACATTTTTCACCATTTTGAAGAAAGTATTCAACCGATTCACTTGAAATTTCATATATAAGCTTTGCTCGATCATACGCAAAAATTCCTAACTTTTGGAAGAAATCAGGCATCAGCAACTGGGCGTTTACTACGGGCCAAATATACATTTTTGCGGATATAAAGAGAAATAATCAACCGATTTCCTTGAAATTTAATATATGAATTCCCCGTATTAAAACAATGAACATGTAAATTTTTTGGAAAGATCAGGCATCGGCAACTAGACGTTTACTACGGGCCAAACATACACTTGTGGGTATATAAAGAGAAATAATCAACCGATTTCATTGAAATTTAATATATGAATTCCTCATATTAAAGCAATGAACATATAACTTTTTTGGAAAGATCGGGGCTCGAGAACTGATTTGCGGGCCGATTTTACATTTTCCACCATATCCACAGAACAAATTGATGGAATTTCTTGAAATTTTATATTTGAGTTCTGGTTGTTACCGAAACTAACTGGCGAGCATTTCAGGGAATTCGGGTAGCACAAAGCGAAACTCTACTAAGAGCCAAATTTACATTTTTCTAAGTATGTTAACTATAAGCTTACTAATGTCCTAAAAATTGGAAAGAAGTATTTAACAGACATTTTTATAATATTCTGTAACACTTTCATTTAACTAGACAATACACAATGCGGTCGGTTATGTGCTGACCACATCAGATTTTTTTTTTAATGTTTGTGATTCCATATATTACATAATATTAATTACATTTTTTAAATTCTAAAGTGCATATAAAATTCAAAAAGTAAAAATTCAGAAAGTAAACCAATAATAATTCATTAAAGTAATATACCAAATATGAATTTACTAACTAAATGTTAAAATTAATACAGATTCATAAATTAGTTAGAATGAAAGAGAAAGTAATAATAACACAAGTAATTAGAAAATCATCATCAATTGAAAGCTAAAAACATTTCAGTAATAACAACAATAGTGTTTGGTATATTCAAAATATTAAATTGTAGCAAAGTTTAAAATAGACTACGAAATTGCAAATTTTTTCTTATATTTATTTATGTTTCGTACTTTTTGATGCGCACTAAGGTTAATTCCTTTTTTAATTTGTAGGTGGCTAAGATCTTAAGACGAATTTTACACGACACACTTACACGTATATTTTCGCTCAAGGTGGATATGATCTTTACTTCTAGTATTGACATTATAAGTATCCTTTCTTTTTATTATTGTTGCAGTTGTGTGTATTTGAGAGTTTTCTATGTCGTTTTTCTATGTATAGAATTAATTTTATGTTAATTAGGTCTCTAATTAGAAGTAAATTCTTTTCTTTATGGATTTTTTCAGTTCTATCAAACGACTTGTAGTTGTATAAATTTTTTGTTGTTTTATTTTGGATAATTTGCATCTCCTTGATAAAATAATTATATACCATAATTTAGACGGCTGTGGAAGAAGGCGAAATATATCGACCTTTTTAAAGAGTCTGGTAAGATATTTGCAATCCTGTAAAATATTCCAGCAATCGAGCTTAGCTTCTGGCTTAGGCGTTGTATGTGTGAGCTCCATTTGAAGTTTTCGTGGAACAAAAGTTTTCGTCGTTTGCAATTTTAATGTTTAAGTTTGCCTCGGAATTATCAATTACCATGAATTTAGTTTTAGTTTATTAATTTTCAATTTGTGAGCTTTCATTCAATGGCTAATTTCCACTAATGACGAATTCATTTTGTTTTGTAAACAATTAGGGTTTTCCGCGCTAAATACAATGCATACATCATCTGCAAACAAAAACATTTTTGCTTCTATGTTAAGCAGTTGTAGTGACTCCATATACATATTAAATAGTAATGGTCTGAGAATACTGCCCTGCGGAACGTCGTAACCAATTTGCTGCTTTTCACTAGAAATTCCTTGCACTTGTGTGTATTATGTTCGGTGTTTCAAATATGTTTCGAACCATTTGAACTCTTTTCCTTTTATGCCGAAGGTTTGAAGCTTTTGCAATAGTGTTTTGTAATCGACAGTATCAAACGCTTTTGCCAAGTCCATAAATACTAAGGATACCATTTTATTCTTATCTTTTAAATTCTGAACGCAAGTTACCATGTCCACAAGAGCTGTTTCCGTGCTAGATTTCTTCTTATATCCATATTGGTATTTATGAAGCAAGTTTTCTTTATTTAGAAACTCTACTAGTTGGTTATTGACAACTTTTTCAATGATTTTTCCCAAAACCGGTACTATACATATTGGTCTGTAG